TTAAATCGCGATAATAGATGCCCTCTCAATGTTCTGTTGCTTCGAAGACAAGATACAACAATCAAATACACCTGACTACTGTGTTGTTAGTTTTCCAGAGTCTGTGTTCTGTGATAGTTCGACATATGTTTTGAACACCGTTACATATTGTAGCAACTGCACGTTTACGAATAAAACGCAACTAGTCGAATAGAAATATCTATTATTACAACCAATTTCATTGAACATTTTGTTTATTCGTTCTCTATACGCGTACTTTTGCTGCCGGCTTGATTGCTCTGTTTGCGGTAGTTTCGCCCATATCCCTTGGCACGATTTCTGTATTTATTCGAAGGCACGAGTCTCTCAGCAGTCTGTCAGTTACAACGTAGAAAGTCGTACGCACGTACATCAGTTCAAGTTTCCACACCGCAATAACACAGAGAAGCAACTGTCCGTTCAATTCACATGGTGATAGAGATAGAAGAAGTATTAGCAATAATATAGAATATACATATATGGTTCGAAGATATGATTCGAGAAGTATAGTTCAGTGAGATTAACTTAGATAGCGAAAGATAGAGATGTTGAGTAATTCAGAAGGTTAGAATTTGAGAGAACGCAAAGTGTTGATGCACCTTCACCATTGCAAACGATTTTGAGTCATGTCGTTCAACGTTTCAAACCATTGGTGACCTTCGCCTCGTTGACCTCGACCACATAAGCCACATCTACCAACGAGACTCAGTCCACTAGTTAGTGATTTCATAGATTTGTACCATGTTTTGTCCTTGCCACCGAGATCGCTTACAAATATTCGCCCTTTTCTGGATTAGAACTTCCTGTCTTGTCTTTGATTCACGGCGGGATTACGATTAGTAGCGGGAATGTAATTGATCTGTAGTGGTGTTCCTAATCAACTGCGACTCGTGTCACTACAACTTCCAGACACACATCCAATCCATGATCCAACCAATTTATCACCAGCAATATAATTTGCATAAATTCGAATGGGTCTACTCAAGATCAGGCATAGATTTACCTTTTGAATACGATGGTCCATTTGGGTTAGTGGGTTGACAATCTGTTTCAATGGTGAATTTCGTCAGTTAAAAAGTAAAACATTTGAAAACTGCAATTCGAAAGTACACAATATAACTGAAAACAAACAATTATTGAGAAAACAATTGTTTTCGATTAATATGCTAATGTCATATGTTACAAACGATGGAAGTGTGCTTATATTACGATATAAATAGTGCAACATAGTGTTATTTGTAAATTGGAAATCCCTTTTCGAAAAGGTCAGAAAAACTCAAAGTAGTGCGTCCCTCAGATTGTGATTAACAAAGTAATAACAAACGTCGTATGAGTAAAATACATAGAAGGAGAACTTTCATATTGACAGTGGAAATAATAATGAGAATAATACATTTGTATTGATTCCTTCAATCTTTCTATTGATGTTTAGAATCGCAACCGATCAGTCTTTTCGGCATATGTGGCTCTAGTGCGCGATGCTTCGATAGTGCCCTCAGATGACGAGAAA